CTAACAACATTATATTGTGTACTTCAACCCAAGTGCTTTCACAAGATATCAAACCCTAGCTAATTTTGAAGAAGTGGAAGCAACTTTTTTTTTTTTTTTTTTTTTTTTTTCAATGATATGTTTGGCAATAATAGTTTATTGCAAATTGCAGGACTGATTGTAAACTATTGATATGATACACAATACACGTGTTGATTTATTTGTATGATCTAAGCCTAGATTCCTTATTATGACGGAATCTTTTAGATTTGAATTATACACTTATTAATTGTCAGATGTCTCACTTAATATAAGAAGACTCTTTGCTAATCTACGCAGAAATATTACTTAATTACTCAACAGTATGCATTCACATCTATCACAGAAACAGATTAAAATAACTTCGTGCATATACTCCTAAATGTTTGTTGATTAATTCCTCATTCTTACTTAGATATGGAGCTATAGATCAATACCACATTTGATTCACATTAATTGGGTACCATTAATAAGTTGAAATAGATCGATGCTACATTTGGTTCTTATTAATTCGGTACCATTAACAACTTGGTTCGATAGGTTTCAATAATAAATTTACATGTAACACGTTAGAAAATGTCTTATATTGGTGGAATTGTCCGTTATAATGGAACTTCATTTACAAACACGTGTTATTCTGAAAATAAAAAATATCATCAAACTAAGCTAGTACGAGAAATGTATGAAAGTTTTTTTTTTTAAAAATAAAAATAATGTATGAGTTACTTCTCTTTCTTGCTGTAAATCTACTTGGTATCTCTTGGTTATCACTTAGCAGAAAAAATAAATTACTCATAATTAATAATTCCATCAGATTAATTAGAATATGTTTGAAGTTGATCGTGTAAAAGAGTGGGCTTGGGGAATAGATATTGCAGGAAACCGTACCTTGATTTTTGAAATAATTAGTACTAATACAAATATGTTATAAAATGATCCATGTGTGTTAGGGTATTCCTAGTAACTTTGCATGCATGCATAAAGTACGCAAGTTGTATATAAAAATCTATCATGTCATTGAAAAAGGTAAACTAACCATGCTAATATATATTGAGACTAACTCAATAACATAATATATATACAAAAACTTAATATGTGATTTTAGATATTTGTTAAGTAGATAATGGATGAAAGTTAATATATAAGTATTAGAGAAGTCAAATTATTATGAGTATTCGAAAATGGGGGAGTATAATAATCAAATACTACTCATGTTTTTTGACGAGATTTATTACTTATTAAAATCAAATTATTTATGTTATAGAGCCATATAAGGTGTCATATTGTTTCATGCGTGATGCACCATCTTAAAATCGATTGGCAATCTAGTGATTCATGTCAAGCTCAGGTATACACGACTCAACCATAAAGAAGAGTAATCACATTATACATGACATGATTCAATGGTGTAATTAATTAAGTAATTAATTAAGTAAGTATAATTGTTGGTCCCACTCCCAAGTGAGAATATTGTACCCCTCTTAATGGGGGTATTGGGGAGGGAGAGTTTTGGTAGAGGTTTTTTGCAAAAAATGTGGAATTCACGTGAATGTCTGTTCTTAACAAAAACATTCACGTCGGGCCACCTCCATATTACTCAAATTTACGATTAATTACACTTGTTTTGAATTTTAATTAGTAGCTCTAAACTCTAATGTAATTAATACTGTTCAACCCTTTAAACAAACATCCTCAAAGACGGAAATTAGTGGGCCCAATTAAGCTAACCAATCACGAGCTTTTGCAGCAGTCAAACTTAGATTTTTGGTCTTCAATCTTTCTCTCTATTTTCTTTCTTTCTTTTTTTGGTACAAAATACTACCCCGTTACAGGTTATGTGCACCGATTTGACATAAAATAGAGAGGGAAAATATCTAATCGTTGCATATAACCTATAACGGAGGTAGTATAAAAGAAATTTATGAGTAAAAACTTAAAAATTAAAAACACATGCATTATCAAAGCTCTTAAACTCCTTATCGATAGAGAACATTAACATTATTTGAAATGCATAAATACTCTTTATTATTCTAATTGAGTAATACTTGATCCAAAAAAAAGAAAATGATGAGAGAAGATGAAATGTGCTCAAATAATCTAAGCTTTCGCAATAGGGATATAATAAACTATAATATCTTAGAGTCAAATCTATATTCTCTTACGAAGTATTTTTCAAGTGTTCTACTTTATTAACGGATCAGAGAGTTTTTTATACTGTTATCTATATGAATTAACGCACACCATATCAATAATCATCATCCTATGAATATAACAATACCTGATACTTAAAGAGAGAGGGGTAAATAAATTCGGATTAACGTTAACAATACGAAAACAAATTAATTAATTAATTAAGTAAATTATCAAGGAATACATATCTAAGAAATGTGGTCCATGGATGAGGGGTAGTTATATTGCCGCCCTAAAGTAGGAACAAGTTTCGGACAACGGCAAAGGGCAAAGAAAGAAAGGGAAAAAAAAAGGTAATAAGGCTAAAAATAAAACAGTAAACCAAGAATAGGGCAATTAGTCTATAAATTGTTTTTTTATATTAACTTGGACAAACCAACTAGATTAATCTAATGTTTATACACTAGTTTTTTTTTTTTTTTTTTTTTACACCTAACAGGCTAACAGTCTTAAGCTGCCCTTTGCATAATTGCATTTCCTACAAAAAAAAAAAAGGTCCTTTACATTTGCACCTAAGTAAAAGAAAATAGACGTAATTTTTAAAGTGCACTACTCGGATTTACTCCCTCCACTACTTTTGATTTTTCTATCTTCAAGACAATTTGAAATAAGTAAAAAGAACCAAAAAAAAAAAAAAAAAAATGAAGAAAGTATTTTTAATTATTACTCAGCTTTGACTTTTTTTAAATAAGTGCACTGCTCGAAGTACTTCCTCCTTTCTTTTTTACTTAATTCGCTTTGACTTTTATAATATTCACCACCCCTCCTTTGAGGCTTTGGCTTTCTTTTGTGAATAATAAAAAAACATGTTCATGTGAGATATTTTTGAATTCGTTTCAACAAGCACTATCATAATATATAACTTTTATAATTTTTACTTGTGGAGAATTAAAGTTATTGATTTTTAAAATTTTAAATTAACAAGCGTAATAAAAGAAATCGGTCAAGTAAAAAAAAAACAGAGAAATTATTATTTATATGAGTGTGAGGAATAACTCAACTGGTTAGAGCTCCCCTCTCCCGATTTCAAAAGATATTGAAATCGATTCTCATCAACTGCCCTTGTGGCTCTCTAAACACCAAAAAAAAAAAAAAAATATTATTTATATGAGTATGTTTAGAGTGATATTGTTGATGTTTTAATATTACATGGTCAAATATGAGGTCCGCGCAACAATGATGGGTTAGCCCAAGATCCCCATTCTCCACCTGCTAGTATTTATACTTGTCAATTTGTCATATTAACCCCTTTTTTTTTTTCAAAACCAAATAACATTACAAATAACTAAATAAGCGAATAACATTACGATTTAGAATATCGGCAGGTACACATTCTTATTCTATGTATAGTAAATTATAACCACTATGTACTTTTTCATATGTAAATTTATTATTGCAAAAGTAGAAATAATAATTTTACAGAGCAACTTGATACATGCTAGTGGTACTACTTCAATCCGAAATGAATATATACGATGGTCACATTTCCTTACCCTGCCACACAAATGTTTTGGTGCCTTTCTAGAACATGACTAATCACGGAAAGCTAACTAACCAAACAAATTGAGATCCTAATTAATCACATCAACGTAACGTCTCCCACTCTATGTTGCTCGGACTCGAGTACTCTTATTTAACATGGACAAGTGTCCTACTAATGTCCAAGTGTCGAAGATCCGACATGGATACTTGAGGTGATATAGAGATTCCGAGTAACATAGAACCCACTTGAACCAAATTCTTCATTCGGAATCGTCACACAGCCACCCCTATAGAACCCTGAATTGGCCCTTTCTACTTGGCTAGACATAAAAGGTGTTGAGATAAGTGACAACTAATTCTGAACGAAAGGAATATGTAACTACGTGAAAATATCAACACAAGTGCCAAAATAATGGGAGTGATACAAACAATAATAGCCACAAAATCATAACTTAGAGGGCTTAATTATCCTCTTGCTGGTGAATGTGATAGATTATCAGCAGGAAACAATGGATCAGCTATATGGTTGTTAAGTTGTTTAATCAAATTATATAGATGTAATGCTATGACTATATCAGCTTCCAGAATGAACAGTTTTTTTTGCATTGATTTTCCAGGAGACAATCTAGAGGATTATTCCTACACAGTATTATTCCATTTGTTACCTAAGTTCATATAATTTTGGAAAAAGATAGTCTCTTCATTTTTTGTTACAAAGCACACAATTTTCAAACAATCCAAACCACTAATTTTTCACATAGCGTGTCAATTAAATTGCCTCAAAAATTATACCATTAGATCTATATTAAACAGTACTTTCATTTTCTTTCAAATTGTAAGACCAAAGATCAAATCCCGCTTACATCTTGTAGACCACCTAAGTCCTCATAATCCCTTGAGAGAGAATGAAAATAAGAAACTCTACAGTTCAAATCAAAAGGTGAACTCATGAGAGAAATTTTATTCTAATAATGGGTTCCAACACCAATACCAGTTTATTACCCATTGTTTGATATGCCAACAAAAGGCCAAATCATTTCTAAATCCTCCATGACATAGTCACTCCCTTCTTTTCAGACATCATATCATAAAATATGGTTAATCATTTTTTAAATCTAATGATTTTTTTAATCATGTAACTTTTTGTAAAAAAATAATTTTTAACTAAGTGCACGAAAGCTCACACAAGATTTGGTATTATAAATAGCCACACCCTTTTTCTCATTTTTTCCAAACCATAGGCCTTTATAATTTTTTTTTCTTTCCCAGTTCTTAGCTTTATTTCCCAGTTCTCCAGTAAACTCAACAAAATGGGTGGCAATGGAACTTCACCTTGTGCTTCTTGCAAGTTGCTCCGTCGTCGATGTGCCAAAGACTGCATTTTTGCTCCTTACTTTCCTTCCGACGACCCCCACAAGTTTGCCATCGTTCATAAAGTTTTTGGAGCTAGCAATGTCAGCAAAATGTTACAGGTGAGTATGGGCAAACACAGACTACATCACAAAACTTTTATGCACTTCTACAAAATTAGACAAATGTTTTTACTTCATTAGCACTTCTTTTCTTATAAAAAGTGATATTTATATATCTGTAGATTAAGATTGCATACATCAGACTTTCCTAAATCCTGCTGACACAAGGATTTTTATAAGGAAGTTGCTAACTTTATGTAACTTATGCAAACTTCATGTACATACATTTCTGTATTCAGAAATAGTCTCTCTAGTCTCTACCCTCCCAAACTAGTTAGGGGTAGACTGCATACATTGAACCTTCCTAAATCCTACCAAACTGAAGGATATTTACTGAGGTGCTGGTTCTAACTCCATATACTTGGATTTTTATGGATACAGGAGCTTCCAATGCACCAAAGAGCAGATGCAGTGAGCAGTCTAGTGTATGAAGCAAATGCAAGGATGAGGGATCCAGTGTACGGATGTGTGGGTGCCATATCGTTCCTGCAAAACCAGGTTTCGCAGCTGCAAATGCAACTAGCAGTAGCTCAGGCAGAGATACTATGCATCCAAATGCAGCCAGAATCAAACAACATAACAACCCCAGTACATCAGAACAACTACGAGGCAGACGACAAGTCATTCCTCTTCCACAACAATCTTTCCCAACACCAGTACATCAATTTTCCGTCCTCAAGTGATCACCATGTAATTCAAGACTCTCTTAAAAGGGAGTCTTTCTTTGGACATGACATGGTTTCATAACTATGACATTATTATAATATATGGCATCCATGTTTTTGCCCTTTTTCTACACAATTCTATTTTTGATATCCTTATTCTTTATTATTAGCATTATTTTCTCCATGAAAAGAAATCACTCCAGAAGGATTGAACCAAGGAGGGTCCTATAGCTTACCCTAGTAAAACCCCATAAAAAAAAAAATCTTTTAGGGTTTTCAAATTTAATGCCTTTTTCTTGCTCTTGCAAATAAAATAAACAATAGAAATTGTCTAAAAGACAAAAGGTTGTACGGCCAAAAAAAAAAAAAAAAAAAAAAGGAATGAAAAGGTGAAGTATAGTAAAAGTTTGAAAACAAGGCCAAGTTGAAAGGAGTCAACTCTAACACGAGATACATGGAGAAGAACGTAAATTAATTAAACTATGTTTAGCAAAATTATGCTAATAGTCTACTTAGCTAGGAAAATTAATGCTCCTTACAACATTAATTCCCACCTTTAAACTCAAATGCACTAAACTAGGCTGTCTATAATTATTAGCATCAACTTTTTACTTCAAAACTTTTTGCAGTTTGATTTCTTCAAAAAATAAAAATATCAGCAATATTCTGAGTTCTTTTGTTCAGCATTTTGAACTATACAGTTCAATATTAGTTCAGAACACAAAAATAAAGGGGACAAAATATCACTTTAAAAGAACAATCTTCTTAAAAATTTCATGAGAAGTTAATCAAAATCTAAAAGAGCAAACAAACTTGCATGTGATAATAGGAATAAAAAATGATGGCTGCAATATGGAAAGAGTGTAAACTGACAACAGTCATCCTCAAACAGTCTAAATTGAGTAAATTTAATATTCAATGTCGGAACCTGTCATTAATGTGATGTGTGAACAAACTTTTTGGAGGAAATTCTTATGAGTCTTTTCATAATTTTACTAAATTTTGTGGTAAGGATTGATCAAACCTTGAGCCATACCCTGTTCCTAGATTGAACCCAAGTGCCTACTAGCAGTCCGCCATTAACATGCGCATCACACATTGGCCTGTGCAGGGTACTTAACAAGAAAACATCAAACTAATCAACTAAAAATAAACTCTTTATACTAACTAGCAGTTAAAAGAGATTTATATATCCTCAATGAACTTTTTGTATAGGGTATTAGGGAAAATGAAACATATTTTCTACCAATTAACATCAATTATTCCATGTAAATATCCTAAGAAACATACATCATCTTTTACATATCACAAAATTTTCATTACCACCTCAAGATTTGAAGTCCTTAAGCACCAGAGCGGTGGAGCCGAGTGGTAATGAATTCGATGGAGTGATATATATGCATGTTTGTAAGCAAATATGCTTTATTTGGACATTCTGCAACAAATATCAGACATAATTCATGGCCACCCCTTCTAACAAAATTAATAACTTGTTAATGTAAGTCAGCTTCAAATTCGGATTGAAAAAGTCTCACAAAGCATCATTCATGTGCTAAGAATTCCAAGTACATATCAAAATAAAAAGTCCAAAACACAAGAAGCAGAAATCACTGTAACAAAAATTCTATAAATATACTATATTCATATGATATTACAAGCAGAATTCTTAACTGTGGAAGGAGAAGCTAGAATTTGATAGTGAGTGTCCATAAAAAATTTCACGTGGGAGGCAAGTGTTAGTGCTGAGTTCATGGACCAAGTATACTAAATAAGACAAAGATTTTTACATTTATTATATTATCCTCACCATATATTATAATGTAATACCATGTTTCTTCAAATCCATCTCTCCTTACAATTACATGTCTCATCAAAAGTAATGATTTTCTATAGAAAAAATAATAATTAAATGCAGAGGCAACAGGGACAATAGCTGACTCAAAGATTCTTCCTAACAATTGTTTATTAAGGGAAGCATTTTCCCAAGTCAAACTTCCAAACTTTTCTAAATTCCCATCTCAATCACACCCCCTTTTGTTTCTATAGCTCCTCTATATATATATATATCTATCTTTGGCAGACACTAAACAGAAAAAAAAAAGACCGTTTCTCGATTTGTGCGTGTCATCCTTTTATAGGACTAAAAGGAGCCATGCTAATCTTCACTGTAATTAATACACATAGAATCCGAGACTAGAAAACAGATTAATGGTCAGTAATTAATGTGTTTTCTGTATTTGTCCTATTCAGTCACAAGAACTTATAATTTAAGCATTTAAAATAGTCTTAGCACAGAAAAGTTTGTGAAGACCAAAGCATAGAATTTTGTCATGACCTGTTCCATGAAGTCCTCAATATGATACCTATAACACTTCCCTTTGAATGAAGTCACCACCAGATATTATGGATTCTTATTTGAAATTTTCTCCTAGAAATTTTATTATATAAGTAAAAGTTCAAAAACATTTTGGCATAAGAATTGCTGATATTTGGATAAGTATAGCAGTCTCGAGGGAATATGATATAGGAAATTTGATTTACTCTATGTAAACCTATTACTCAAATAATTTGGAAGTTGAGGAAAATGGGAAAACCCTAATAACTAAAGTTGTACATTCTTAAAAAAACATTCTATTGAAGGTTTTCTAGTCCCCAAGAATCTTTCCTATGAGTTGCATGACTGCATTGTCTATAGGTTAAAAAAGAAGAAACATACAAAGAAAAACATCTAAGGGAAAAAAAATATAGGTCACTCATAACAAGTCTGAGCATACCGAGTACAAAACAAAAAAAGAAGTGAAAACTACAATTAAATTCATACGGTCTATTTGTTTAAAGACAACATTTTCATCAGCAAATTTTAAAATCAGTTCATTTAAAAAATTCAAAACACAGTACAATGATTCTATCTACGTTAACAATAGACGTATAATTACTTTTAGCAAAATAGCTAATGAAAACTTTGTTTCAATTATTTTGGTATATCATTTGATCAAACTCTTTCGCTTAGAATCAACTTTCACAATAGTCTACATCTCTACAAAGCTACAGAAGCTGTTGGTGGTGGTGGCGGCAGTTGTTTTGGTGAACCATGGGAACATGTTAAAGTCACAAGCATCTGCATATTTCTATTGTTTTTCTTGATATCTGAATGAAAGAGGAGATAATAATCTGCTTCCCTTGGAATGTGACACATTTGGGTGAAAGAAAATAAATGGTAGAGCAGGAAAAGGTAGCAAATTAGTCAAATTGAAGAGGAATAACAAAAATAGTGCTCACAAAGAGAACATGGATGGAAAGTCAAAATAAAAAGACAAAAAGGCATTCTCCTTTGGATTTATCTATCAACCTCCAATGCAGCTTCTTTCTGGAGACAAGGATAGGAAGGATGGTTGTTTCTCATTTGAGGGCTCGAGGACAACTGATACCCAGGAAAAAGGTTGTTTGGTTTCTGAAATCCTTTATTTTCCCATGTTTTGGTTTTAACCCTTTCCTTTTGCTGCATCTTTCCTTTCTTCTTTTTAATTCCTTTCCACTCCTAAATCTTTCCCAAGTACTGGTTTTAACATTTTCCACACATGAAAGTAGTTCTCCATCAATTCCGAATTCTCAGTCCACTGCACCCACAGTTCTTACTCTGATCATCAGTTAAAATATACAGTCACTTGACAGTTATATACCCCCCCAAAAAAAGAGTAATTTTTTATACAATAACTTACAGTTCGGTGTTTCAAGTGTATTATCCTAAACAAACAAATGCTTTCAAATGAAAGGGATTATTATAAGTTTAGAGTTTGACAATTTACTACCAACTAATCAAATAACCTGTCTTAAAAAAGGGTTCCACAATAACCAATTGTAGAAGGCCACATCACTCATGAAATGTTGGTGGGGTCTCCAGAGAAAAGGATGAAGCTAGTAGCTACTACCAACAATGATTTAAACCTTTTCTTCCACTTGTGACTGGCTTTTATTGCTTTTTCATCATCATCATCAAGAACAGGTAATTCACATTTGCAAATGAAGCTTAAACAGAGTTGTCAACAATCTTCCAAGCACTTTTCATTGTATATCCTGTTTAGTAAAACACTTTCTACTCAATTTCAGAATTATTGATACACCTATTCAAGCACACTATATTTTATTTTAAAACTTGTATAAGTATTTGATAAGAACATTCAAGCACACTTTATATCATACATTTAAAGGCATATATTAATCTTTTTAACGAGAAATGTGTTTATTAGGGACTGTATAGGAGACTTTTACTTTAGCTTTATAATGGCAAATTATTACTCAGATTGGATACAAGTAATGAGCTCAGGTATATATCCCAGCTTAAACTTAGACAATATAAGAAAATTTTGATCTTTTTGGATCAAAATGAAGTATCATGTATCCAGTATCCACATATATATAAATAACAGATCATTTTTTTTAACACCTTAATCAACTAAAATACCTTTTCATTTAAAAAAAGATGACAAAAGAATTTTTTTTGGTAGGAAATAGGGTAAATATTATAACTTCACAAGTAACAAAATTAATCGGTCACTAAGGGCCTGTTCTCTTCGGCTTATTTTCAATTCAGTTCAGTTCCTAATTTCCTTCTCTCATAAAATATTCAGTTCAGTTCAGTAAATGAGAACAAGCCCTAAAGAATGGAAATCTTCAAATTACTATTTTAAGTGAAAGACACACCAGGGAAAATATAAAGATGGTTCAAAAGTGGAAATAAGAGTACCCCTGTCCTAAAGGCAACTACCACACTCATAATCTTTTAAAAAATAGAACGTGAAATTTTTTTACATATCTCAAGTGAGTAAGAATTTATAAATATTTTCTATTAGAGAAAAGACAAGCAGATAAATTTGGAAGAAGAAAAGGTCAAAAGGTCACACACACAAAATCCAAAAGACATCATCTCAAATCTTTTTTTTGCATCACAAGATAGGAAATTAGTAATCACAATGACCCATCAAAGATTTCTCTAATGGTTCAGCAGTACAGTAATTTATATTCTACAAGGTGAAAGGGAGATCTCAAAAGATAATAATCTTTTGCAAAATTCATATAATATCCTTCACGTCACTGGAATTAATTTTATATCTTAACTTGAAATTTAATAAATTTGACGTAACAAAGTTTTGTTTAAGGATAAAGACATCCCCTAAAATTCTATTGAGAAAAGACAAATCTAACCAATCAAAGTGAAAAACTTGTGTGCAACTCCTCACCTTTATTTTTCAGTGACACCAATTGGGCTTAGGCCTACGGGTGTAGGTGACTGGTTATATTGTAAAGATATATAAAGAAATGATACTTTCTTATAATGTTTGGGAAGATTTGTAACGTGTAAGGGTGAGCCAATGCCCCAAGATTAGTTGCCAAATTTGATCACAGGATAATTTAAACTGCACGTTGCATAAAGGACATCATCACAATCATTTTATTTTTTGTACTAATCCATAAATATCCAGTCACAAAACCTTATTGTAATCATAAATTAGTAAAGAAAGCCATTATAACATCTAAATATCCAATTATTAAAATATACACAAAAAAATAAAAATAAAATAAAAGGAGAAGATAGTCGATCAATGGTAGCTAACCTTAAATATTAAATTGAAAGTATGGAGAATCATTGAGTGGTTGACAAGTCCCATCAACACCACAAACTTGGATGACAAATTTGAGAGCAGAAATACCAGAAGGAACTAGCAACTCAGAAACATAAAAGGATTCCACAAATGCTACTCCAAGAAATTCCTGTACATCTTGAAGATTTACATCCAGATTTGCATCTTCTTCTGATGTATTCTCGACATAAATGTTGTATTTCTGAATTTCATTAAGACCAACTCCAACCTTAGATCTCCATACAATGGTAAGGGAAACAGACTTGGATTCATCCAAGCCAGCTTTCCATGATACATCTTGACCCTCAACGATCCATGAAGAAGAGAGTGGGAATTGTACATTATGACCAGAATATTGGATTAAGAGATGACCAAGGACTGCATAATACTCAGATATCTCTCCCTCGTTGATTTTAGGTCTTAATTTGTAGCAGACTGCCCGAATTTCTGTTAGTGTATACCCTGGCATGGAAATGACATTCTCTTGTACGACCCACCCATCAGAGGACTCTGATTTGGTAATTCGATGAGGCATAATTACTTTGCTAAATTTGCTAGAGAACTGGTTCATGGTAAGTAAAGCATCCCCATGTGATGCAAGGAGCACTGATATAATCTCGCCCTCACTGGAAATAAATTCCAGAGAAATGCCCACCAGTGAGTCCCCATACGACTTCACCTGCAAACCAATTGAAATTTGAGTATTGTATGATTCATCAGTTAATCATTTCTAGTGCTGTACCAGCCAATAAAAATGTCCAGAATGGACAAAATATTTCGTGTTTCATATCATAATTGACAAGAACACTATTTAATTTTCAAAAGGAAGCAATGACAAAGATATTAGCTACAGTGCTAATCAAATACTCCTCCATGTAGCACAAATATCAACTTTATTTCAGTGAGAGACAGACCTACTTCACAAAATCCAGATAGGAAGGTCAGTTCATGAGCTTGCAATAGTAATGACAAGGCACATTACAGTGACACTCTAACAAAAATAGAGAGAGCTGAAAATCAAATGCAGAGCTGCAGAGTAAATGATGATATAGTATGATCCAAGTACTTCATGATTTTGGGGTCTAACCCTCATTTTATGGATTGTTAAACATGAGCACCAATATATCTTCTTAAGCACATGCTTCTTGGACAAATGAAAATAGCTCATAAGACAAATGTTTTCGAGGATTTTCTTTAGACTATTTAGAGCTGGGCATTTTTAGTAGTATCATCGCCAGAAGAACGTCATTTAAACTCAAAATGTTTCATAAGAACCAAGCAAAAAATTATCCACCAAATTCATCTTTACTTGTCAGATTATAATTGAATGATTGTAACTAGAGTAGACCCAGATGCTAATTATATTGAACTGCATTACATCATGTTTAAGTCTCAACCTGAATTTATTGCAGGAAAACAGAAATTTTAGTATGACTCTTTTGAGTGCGGGGAAATGGCATGCACAACCATCATTGAGAAACAAAATGTTAAAAGTGAAACACTAGTGTAACCGGGAAAACCTAACAGAGCTGAATATTTGAAGATGGCTTACAGAAAATGTGAAGCCCACAGCTGGATCCCCTAGGAGGAGTTTTGCTTGAAATAGCCTTTTTGTGAAATAAGGAATGCTTCCAAGAATGCTTTTAAACGTGACATTCCCACCTCCATTATAAGATTCCTCCTCAAGGCTGAAAATTAAGTGTATCACTTCATTAGAACTTAAAATAACAAAGTAATAAGCTAATAGCAATCACAACCACCGCAAGAGAAGATCATACAGAGGCAGGATTTAGAAAGGGTGAGAAGCACTCTCTACAAACCTTACCATTACAAGCGAAGATATATATATATATATATATATATATATATGTATATATATTTAAACTAAATAAACCATTGATGAAATCTGATTATCCTACAATCTTAATTCTTAATTGATCGAAGTCTATAACAAAAGGATTTCTTCAGCATGTGCCCTACTATTAAACCACCAATCTAATAACTTTAACAAGTGAAGTGAGCAATGTTACAAGGTACGTGGTTCGATACGAAACGTGGTACGGAAACGGATACGCGGTACGCTACCCATGATGAATCCGGTACGATTGGGTACGAAATAAATTAATAAAATATATGGGTGATTTTTATTAATAAGATTTTGATTTGGAAAATAATATAAAACGTAGTTGTATCAGTCCTTGCTTGAATTTATGTGGGTTAGTGAATTGCTTAAGAAAATAGAGTACATAATATATATTTGTATAATAAAAAGCCCAAAGACTTAAGCCCATTTGGAACAGAACCCTAGCCGCCACCCTATGTACTACTGTGTAAAACAGAAGAGAGGAGAGAAGAGAGAGAAAAAACTACTCCTGAGAAATCAGAAGAGAGAGAAAATGCATTGGAAATATCGGGAAGAAACCATTGAACGTTGCACAAGAAGAATAACCGCTTAGCTGCTACCAAAGTCGCCTCCTTCAGCGATCCAGATCGCGAACCCCAGCGACCCAAGTCGCGTTTGTTCCACGTTCCGATAAGCGCGACTCAGTTCGCGATTCGTGGCTACGTACCGCGAACCTTGTAACGCTAGAAGTGAGGCCGTAAGGAAGGGAAAATTCATGTGGCATTACCCACACAACTGCAAAAAGGGCTATTCCAACCTTATCCCCAAAAATTAAAGAGGGTGTACAACCTCGAGCCTAAACAAAATCCAAAGTAAAATTCACTCAATATTTTTCTGCCACTCCCTCTCTAACTGATCTCTTCGATATACTACCTCCGTTACATATTATGTGCAATTTTTGGGTATTATTTGTGAGATATAAAATATTCAAAAGTTGCACATAATATGTATCAGAGGTAGTATAACTCAATTACTAATCACACAAATTTTGAGGAAGCTTGATTTGAATTGTTTTCAAGGAACATATCCTCTCAACCAATTGTAATTAGCATAATTGAATAGTAAGCACAATTGATCAATATTGTAGATAATAATCAATGATGACAACACAACTTCAAAATATTTTACAGCTGTTAATAAATAAGGGCATACCCCCATAAAAAGTAGGATTTGTTGAGGACAGGTTAGAGCTGTCAATTCGGGTAAACAGTTTGAGTTTGGGCCGGTAAGAGTGGGTCAGGTCAACTCGGGTCGAGTCAATTCGGATTAATTCCATAACCTATGCGGGTCGGGTTTGGGTTGGGTTCGGCAAGTTGTAAACCGGTAAATTAGCCATTTAAAGGCAAATTGGATGGTTCCACCCACCCAATTGGACTCCCGGAGGATATTAGGGACCATAATAAACATTTCGACGATTTTTATTTCGGGCGAAAAAAAGTCAAAAAATTCAAAAATTGAAGGCTAATATCCAACAATTTTTATCTTGGTGTCATATAATGTCGTTTAGAACCATATGTAATCATTATTTGTTGTCATAAATGTTCGTAATATGCTAGAGTAAATGAAATCGGTGCAAGAAGTTACCAGTAAATTGGTCGTTTAAACACAAATTGGATGGTTCCACCCACCCAAGTGGACTCCCGGAGGGTATTAGGGATCTTGGTAAACATTTCGAAAATTTTTATTTCTGACGAAAAACCGTCAAAAAATTCCAAAATTAAATGCTAATATCTACGCTTTTTGAGAAATTTTGGAGATTTCGAGGCTCGGTGTCGAAAAGCCTCGAAAATTTAAGGGATACATCTCGGGGTCATATAATGCCGTTTGGAATCATATATAATCATTCATTATTGTCATAAATGTTTGTAGTAGGCTTGAATTAATGAAATCGGTGCAAGTTGTAAACCGGTAAATTGGTCGTTTAAAGGCAAATTGGATAATTCCACCAACCCAATTGGACTCCCGGAGAGTATTAGGAACCATTGTAAACTTTTCGGAAATTTTTATTTCCGAGCGAAAATAAGTCAAAAAATTCCAAAATTGAAGACTAATATTCACGCTTTTTGAGTAATTTTGGAGGTTTTAGGGGATACACCTCGAGATCATATACCTTTGGGATACACCTTAAGATTTTAGGGGATACACCTCGAGATCATATAATGCCATTTGAAACCATATATGATCATTATATGTTGTCATAAATGTTTGTGGTAGACTTGAGTTAATGAAATCGGTGCAAGTTGTAAACCATTAAATTGACCGTTTAAAGGCAAATTGGATGGTTCCGCCCAGAGGGTATTAGGGACCATTGTAAACATTTCGTATTTTTTTTTCTGGGCGAAAATAAGTTAAAAAATTCTAAAATTGAAGGCTAATATCCACGTTTTTTTAGGTATTTTGTAGGTTTCGGGGTCCGGTGTCGAAAAACCTTAAGATTTTAGGGGATACATCTCGGGGTCATATAATGCCGTTTGAAACCATATATGATCTTTATATGTTGCCATAAATGTTCGTGGTAGGCTTGATTTAATGAAATCAGCTAAAGTTGTAAACCGATAAACATGCCGTTTAAAGGCAAATTGTATGGTTCCACCTACCCAATTGGACTCCCGGAGGGTATTAGGACCATGGTAAACATTTCGCCAATTTTTATTTCCGGGTGAAAAAAAAGTCAAAGTAAATTCAAAAATTGAAGGCTAATATCCACTTTGAGAAATTTTAGAGTCTTCGAGGCCCGGTGTCTAAAAGTTTTGAACTTCTAGGGAATACATCTCGAGATTATATAATGTTGTTTGGAACCATATATGATCATTATTTATTGTCATAAATGTTCGTAATAGGCTTGAGTTAATGAAATTAATCCAAGTTGTAAACCGATAAATTGGCCGTTTAAAGGCAAATTGGATGGTTCTACCCACCCAATTAGACTCCCGAAGGGTATAAGGGACCATGGTAAACATTTCGGCAATTTTTATTTTCGGACGATAAAAAGTCAAAAAATTCCAAAATTAAAGGATGCCTTTCAAAAACTATCCACGCCTTTTTTAGAAATTTTGGAATTTTCGGGGCACGGTATCGAAAAGCCTTGAGATTTTAGGGAATACATCTCGAGGTCATATAATGCCGTTTGAAACCATATATGATCATTATATGTTGTCATAAATTTTCGTGTTAGGTTTCAGTTAATTAAATCGGTAAATTGGTCGTTTAAAGACAAATTGGATGGTTCCACCACTCAATTGAACTACCGGAGGGTATTAATGACCATGGTAAACATTTCGGCAATTTTTATTTCCGGGCTAAAAAAAGTTAAAAAAAAATTCCAAAATTGAAGTCTAATATCAACGCTTTTTCAGAAATTTTGGAGGTTTCGGGGCTCGGTGTGTTGAAGGTCTTGAAATTGTAGGGAATACATTTCGGGGTCATATAATGTCATTTTGAATTATGTATGATCATTATTTGTGGTAATAAATGTTCGTAGTAGGTTTGAGTTAATGAAATCGGTGCAAGTTGTATACCGGTAAATCGCTATTTAAAGGCAAATTGAATGGTTCCAACCGACCAGGTGGACTTTCGAACGGTATTAGGGACCACAGTAAAATTACGGTAATTTTTATTTCCTAGGAAAAAAGTCAGAAAATTCCAAACTTTAAGTCTAAGATCCACACATTTTGCAATTTTGGTGGTCCGGGGCCTGGTGTTGAAAAATCTTAAAATTTTAGGGAATATATCTCGAGGTCATACAATAACGTTTGGAACCATATATGATCATTATATGTTGTCATAAATGTTCGTGGTAGGCTTGTGTTAATGAAATCAGCGCAAGTTGTAAACGGGTAAATTGGCCATTTAAAGGTAAATTGGATGGTTCCACCTACCCAATTGGACGCTAGGAGGGTATAAAAGACCATGGTAAACATTTTGAAAATTTTTATTTCCAACTAAAAAAAGTTTGAAAAAATTACAAAATAGAAGTTTACTATCAACGCTTATTGAGAAATTTTAAAGGTTACGAGCCCGGTATCGAAAATTCTTGAAATTTTAGGGAATACATTTAAGGGTCATATAATGTCATTTGGAATCATGTATGATCACTATTTATTATCATAAATGTTCTGGTAGGCTTGAGTTAATGAAATCGATGCAAGTTGTAAGCCGCTAAATCAGCTGTTTAAAGGCAAATTGGATGGTTTCACCCGACACGTGGACTCCCAGAGGGTATTAGGGACCATTGTAAACACTACGACAATTTTTATTTACGGGCAAAAAAAAGTTAAAAAATTCGAAAATTTAAGTCTAATATTCACACATTTTGCGAAATTTTGGAGGTTTAGGGGCCGGTATTGAAATATCTTGATATTCTAGGGGATATATCTCGAGGTCAAATAATGCCTTTTGGAACCAACTATGATCATTATCTGTTGTCATAAATGTTAGTGGTAGGCTTGAGTTAATGAAATCGGTGCAAACTGTAAACCTGTAAATTGGCCATTTAAAGGCAATTTGGATAGTTCCACCCACCCAATTGGACGCTAGGAGGGTATTAGAGACCATGGTAAACATTTCGGAAAAATTTATTTCCGGGTGAAAAGCAGTCAAAAAATTCCAAAATTGAAGACTAATATCCACGCTTTTTGAGAAATTTTAAAGATTTCGAGGCCCAGCCTCGAAAATTTAAAGGATACATCTTGGGGTCATATAATGTCGTTTGGAATCATATATAATCATTATATGTTTTCATAAATGTTCGTGGTAGGCTTTAGTTAATGAAATCGATGCAAGTTGTAAACCGGTAAATTGGCCTTTTAAAGGCAAATTGGATGGTTCCACCCACCCAATTGGACTCCAGGAGGGCATTAAGGACCAATGTAAACATTTTGGAAATTTTTATTTCCGGGAGAAAATAAGTTAAAAAGTTCTAAAATTGAAGGCTAATATCCACTTTGAGTAATTTTGTAGGTTTTGGGGCCCGGTGTCGTCGAAAAACCTTAAGATTTTAGGGGATAGATCTCGGGGTCATATAATGCTTTTTGAAACCATATATGATCATTATATGTTGTCATAAATGTTCGTGGTAGGCTTCAGCTAATGAAATCGGTTCAAGTTGTAAACCGATAAACAAGTCGTTTAAAGGCAAATTGGATGGTTCCACCTACCCAATTGGACTCCCAGAGGATATTAGGGACCATGCTAAATATTTTGCCAAATTTAATTTCCGGGTGAAAAAAAGTCAAAAAAATTCAAAAATTAAAGGCTAATGTCTACTCTTTTTGAGAAATTTTGGAGTCTTCCTAGTGTCTAAAAGTCTTGAACTTCTAGGGAATACATCTCGGGATCATATAATGTCGTTTGGAACCATATATGATCATTATTTATTGTCATAAATGTTCGTGATAGACTTGAGTTAATGAAATCGGTCCAAATTGTAAACCGATAAATTGGCTGTTTAAAGGAAAATTGGATGGTTCTACCCACCCAATTGAACTCCCGGAGGGTATTAGGGATCATGGTAAACATTTCAGCTGTTTTTATTTTCGGGCGATAAAAAGTCAAAAAATTCCAAAATTAAAGGCTCATATCCACGCTTGTTTAGAAATTTTGGTGGTTTCGGGGCACGGTGTCGAAAAGTCTTTAGATTTTATGGAATACATCTCGGGGTCATATAATGCTGTTTGGAACCATATATGACCATTATATGTTGTCATAAATGTTCGTGGTAGATTTGAGTTAATGAAATCGGTGCAAGTTGTAAATCAGTAAATTGTCTGTTTAAAGGTAAATTAGATGGTTCCACCCACCCAATTGGACTCCCGAAGGATATTAGTATTCATGGTAAACATTTCGGCAATTTTTATTTCCGGGCTAAAAAAAGTTACTTCCTCCGTTTTTTTATTATTGCACCATAAGGGTTGAGTACAAATATTTTGGTAGTGGAAAAAGTAATAGAGAAAGGTAAAAATACAAAATTGTCTATGTGACATATTGATAAATTAAAAAGTGTGAAAAAGCAAGGGTATGTTGGGTATTTGTAGTGTGAACACAAATAATTTTTTTCCTAAAGAGGAAATAGTGCAATATTTGTGAAACTTCCTAAAAAGACAAGTGGTGCAATAATAAAAGAACGGAGGAAGTAAAAAAATTCCAAAATTGAAGTCTAATAACGACGCTTTTTCAGAAATTTTGGAGATTTTGTGGCCTGGTGTCGAAAAGTTTTGAAATTTTAGGGAATACATTTCGGGGTCATATAATGTCATTTGGAACCATGTAGGTGGACTCCCGAAGGGTATTAGGGACCATAGTAAAAATTACGGCAATTTTTATTTCCTATGAAAAAAAGACAAAAAAATCCAAAATTCAAGTCTAATATCCACACATTTTGCGAAATTTTGGAGGTTCCGAGGGCTGGTGTCGAAAAATCTTGAAATTCTAGGGGATATATCATGGGGTCATATAATAATGTTTGGAACCATATATAATCATTATATGTTGTCATAAATGTTCGTGGTAGGCTTGAGTTAATGAAGGCATTAAAGACCATGAAAATATTTCGGAAATCTTTATTTCCGGGTGAAAATAAGTCAAAAAATTTCAGAACAAAAGGCTAATATCCACGTTTTTTTGAGTAAATTTGGAGGTTTCGGGGCCCGTTGTCGAAAAGCCTTACGATTTTAGAGGATACATCTCTGGATCTTATAATGCCGTTTGGAACCATATACGATCATTATATATTGTCATTAATGATCCTGGTAGGCATGAGTTAATGGAATCGGTGCAAGTTGTAAACTAGTAAATTGACCGTTAAATAGCAAATTGGATGGTTCTATGAAATGAGCCTGAGCAACCCGAACAAGGAGGAGGAGCGTTTGGTCCACAAACTAGGCTTTGGAGCTTCCATACTAAAACCAATTGACAATAGTAGGAGGTACTCGTCTACCTTATAAAGTGTAACCATCTCTCCTCTTTCTCCAATGTGGGACACTCATAAGTGGGTTACAATGGGTTTCAACAGTTCCACCCAGCGAAGTAGACCACATAGGGTATTAGGGACCATGGTAAACATTTTGGCAATTTTTATTTTCGGGCGAAAAAAAACTCAAAAAATTCCCAAATGAAAGGCAAAAAGATCCATGCTTGTTGAAATTTTTTGGAGATTTTAAGGCCCAGTGTCGAAAAGCCTTGAAATTTTAGGATTACATCTCGGGGTCATATAATGTCGTTTGGAATCATATATAATCATTATATGTTGTCATAAATGTTTGTGGTAGACTTGAGTTAATGAAATCGGTGCAAGTTGTAAACCGGTAAATTGGCCATATAAAGGCAAATTGGATGGTTCCATCCAGCCAATTGGACTCCCGGAGAATATTAGGGAACATGATAAATATTTCGGCAATTTTTATTTCCGTGCGAAAAAAAGTAAAAAAATTAAAGGCTAATGTCCACGGCTCCACGCCTTTTGAGAAATATTGGAGTCTTCGGGGCCCGATGTCTAAAAGTCTTGAAATTTTAGGGAATACATCTCGGGGTCATATAATAACATTTAGAACCATATATGATCATTATTTATTGAAATAAAAGTTCGTGATAGGCTTGATTTGATGAAATCGGTAAAACTTGTAAACCGGTAAATTGATCGTTTAAAGGCAAATTGGATGATTCCACCCACCCAATTGGACTCCCGGAGGGTATTAGGGATCATGGTAAATATTTCAGAAATTTTTATTTTCGGGGTATAAAAAGTCAAAAAATTCAAAAATTAAAGGCTAATATTCACGCTTTTTAAGAAATTTTAGAGATTATGAGCCCGGTGTCGAAAAGCCTCGAAAATTTAAGGAATATATCTCGGGGTCATATAATGCCGTTTGGAATCATATATAATCATTATATGTTGTCATAAATGTTCGTGGTAGGCTTGAGTTAATGAAATCGGTGCAAGTTGTAAACTGGTAAATTGGTCGTTTAAAGGCAAATTGGATGGTTTCACCCAAGGTACATTTCGGAAATTATTACTTCCGGGCCAATAAAGTTAAAAAATTCCAAAATTAAAGTCTAATATCAATGCTTTTTGAGATATTTTGGAGGTTTCGAGGTCCAGTGTCAAAAAAATCTTAAAATTTAAGGGAGTACATTTCGAGGTCATATAATGTCATTTGGAACCATGTATGATCATTATTTGTTGTCATAAATGTTCGTGGTAGGCTTGAATTAATGAAATCGATGCAAGTTGTTTACCGGTAAATCGGCTGTTTAAAGGCAAACTGGATGGTTGCACCGATGGTATTAGGGACCATTATAAAAATTACGGCGATTTTTATTTACGGGATAAAAAAAGTCAAAAAATTCCAAAATTTAAGTCTAATATCCACACATTTTGCGAAATTTTGGAAGTTTCAGGGCCCGATGTCGAAAAATCTTCGAATTCAAGGGGATATATCTCGGGGTCATATAATGCTGTTTGGAACCATATATAATCATTATATGTTGTCATAAATGTTCGTGATAGGCTTGAGTTAATGAAATCGGTGCATGTTGTAAACTGGTAAATTGGTCGTTTAAAGGTAAATTGGCCATATAAAGGCAAATTGGATGGTTAGTAATAGGTCTGGTAAAATTCAGGTCGGGTCAATAACAAGTCGGGTTGAATTTGGGTCAGGTTAATAACAAGTCGGGTTGATTTCGGGTCGGGTTTGTAACAAGTTGGGTTAAATTCGGGTCGGGTTGAATTCAGGTCAGGTTAGTACCAAGTTGGGTTAAATTCGGGTTTTGACGGGTTAAAACGGGTTTGGGTCAATTTCTGTTCAAGTCGGGTTCGGTTCAGGTCAATAATTTCCGTGTTACATTCGGGTCGGGTCATCTCCAGGTGAGTTCATGTTCGGGTTCGGGTCTCACATACTCGGGTAAACTCGGGTCTAGGGTTGGTTTCAGGTCGAGTCAGGTCGGGTTTGGGTCACCATTTTTTCGGGTTCGAATGGTTTAGTTAATAATCGGGTTTGAGTCAATATCTCGGTTCGAGTCAATTTTTGACAGCTTTAGATAAGTTGTGTGTGTGCGCACATGCACGTAAATACATACACTAGCACAAGATATACAGACAGAACCTTTGAACAAAAAGGTGCAGTGGAATCTCTTACTTTACAAAAACTTGAGTAGCATCTGGTCCAGGGTCTCCAGAAAATTCCAGCAAAGGCTGCATACATGAATGAACTTAGTACATGAAGAAGCATGCTACAGTGCTTAGAAGTAAGCAGCATAAAACAATGTGTAAGTTTTTAATGAATATCTGTATTACTTCTTAAACTAAAAGTATCAAGCAAATGAATCAAGTTCAGAGAGATTAAACACAACTCAACCAAAAACAAAAGCCTGATGATTTGAACAAGGCAACATGCAGTATGTCCATACCTGAAAGCTTTGGCATGATAAGTTACACCAATCAGCATTTGAAAGTTCCCTCCCATCAAGAGAAAAATGGTGACCACGGCCCTAGAGGAAAGAAAAAAAGATCTAACAACGTTAATCAATAATTAAATGATTTCATATCTAGTTCATTATATTACAAAATGTTGCCATGTCATAAGTGATGATGTGAACCTGAAAACGAAAAAAGAACAAAAAATCCTCACATTGCTTCTTTGGTCACTAATAGCATATTACAAATAAACATAATGGATTCAATACTGATCTTGCATACGCTAATTATAAATCAAAATTCTACAGTAAACATGCCCCCAAGGTGCCTTTAGAGTATACCAACCTAGAACTCAAGGATTTAAGTAACATATGTCTTTTTTGAGGAATGAATTTCAGTTAAAATTCATAGAATAAAAAAAGCCTAAGTTCAGCTTAAATAATCTTAACAGAACAAATAAGAAAAGAAAGAGCAAAATCTATGTGACTCTTAGGAAATTAAGATTTCCATGGAGAGAAATGAAATTAATAGTTTAACCGTTTACTATTGCTATTGCTATCATTTCATTTACATCTACGCCATATATATGCATTTATACTCCATCCAAAGATGATAGTCACGTATTCTATAGTAGGATGTCTGGAAAAACAATTTAAAAAATATTGATGCATCATGCATGGAATTTCATGATGCTATGCATGCAGACGGGAAGGACACAACTTTGAGGATTCAAGTGATATTATATCACATTCTGAAATTTGATAGTTTGGGGTCATTGGGATGATGCAACAACAGAAAGCGCTAAGAATAACATTCCCCTTACTTTCACATGACAAAGCAAAATCCTGAGATGCAACATAAGACACAATTCACACAACACAAGAAAAGGGTCCTTTTAGTCTATGCTCATTAATGTGAATCATGAGTGCCCTTTGTTCTGAGAAACTGCGACAACTAAGAGAGAAAATGAATAATTAAAGCAACAGGATCATATCACTACCTGATCAAAATCTGAGAAAAATGGGATTGTCGTTGGATAACTCTGCCTCACTTCCCAAGATTTTTCAATAAGATCCCACCAACTGCCAAAACAAAACAATAAATTTCGTCAATGTGAACCAACAAGGCAGCAAATCTGCAACTAATTCAAAGACAATTAGAACAAAGATATAAGTGTCAATCAAGCTCATGATAATCTGGTAGTTGCTTTGCCTCTCCCCAAACGAGAAAGAGCATTAATTTTCGTAACTGAACAAGCACATGATAAATTATAAGAAGCAGCAGGTCTACCATATGCATGTAAGAACCAACAATGGAGCACAACCAAGAAGGCAAGAATCAACAGATGATGTAGTTTCACCATAAGAATATTGACAAGCATGCCTTTTTATTATATTTCAGAGTCTGGCACTTCAAATTCAAACATTTGATTGAACTGCCGCTAATATCCAAAGTTCACCATCTAACACCAAACAAGACTAACCAAAATTACATAACAAGCAAGCCAGGAACAATATAATGCAATCTTTGGTCTTATAATTTTTTTCTTGATTGAATTGTCACTGATACCTACACTGCTCACCATCTATACCTATCAAATTGTCAGGATTATAACCAATGTTGCATCTCATATCTATGAAAAAAAAAGGAAGCTGAAAAGCATTGACAACAAACTGTTGAACAAGCTCGATATGGTACTTCCTTTATCCCACTATTTTTGTCCATGTTAATCTTCTATGAATATCAAGGTTTAACAGTTCAATAGAATTTGACTCATATCATGTTGATGTATTAGGGATGTCAAATGGATGTATGTAATTAATAGCTAAATAGCGTGTCAAAGTACTCAAAATAAGATCAGTTAGCTACCGGTTTTGAGCAGTCTGAAAATCTGGAGGTAGCTTTTTCTCATAGACCCATCCAGGTGCAAATATTGCAGCTGATACATCATCCTTCCTTATGACATCTAGAGCAAGGTTTGTCTACAATTTTGGAACAAGTAATTTCTAAATTAGAGGTTTCTTAGCATTTGCTTACCTGTCAAAGATTAATGAGCAAAAAATGTCACAGAAATCTGCAATACAACTAAATAGCTTATAAATCCCTTTATGAGTAATCGCTCATTCACCCCTTATACCACTAATATGCATTATCTTCATTGTGCTCAACAGAATCATTAAAAGATCTTTCTATGTGAAGTGTGAGAAAAAGCTATAAAGTGGAGTAAGAGGAGTCTAGGTATTAAACAAATAATAGGCTTTACATTCCTTGGCTCCACAAGGAAGTGGCAAATGGCAAGGGCGCAAGGCTTACTCTTGTAGTCATGAGTTTAATCCCTTTAAGTATTATTTTGTTGTATCCAAGAGGTTGTATTGATGGAAGAATAATATATCAGCAGATATATCCTTGGAGGCCAAGATATCTTTTGGTGGTGCAAACTTAATACGGTGGTAAAGTTTAGAATAATAAGACTGCATGGCTAATTACTTCTGTAAGGTAAAGATAGCAGAAACAATTACAATAATAATACCAAGCAGTGGTGATATTTTCCTTAGGTAACTACATACAAAGAAAGAATCATGAACCAGAGTCCTTTGAATTTTTTAAGGAGTTCATAGTGCATTAGCTGCTAAGTCTATTGAGTATTGACAACAGATACTTTAGGTTAAATCTTTTATGATGATAGATGATTGTAATTACAATCAATCAGAAATATCAATGCTGGGTAAATTCCATAGCAAATTTTATCTATTGTCAAATTTATAACACTTGTATATCATCAAATTCCCTGTTTTAAATGTGGTAACTTTACTTCCTTAACAAGAAACAGAGACATGAAAAAAGAAAGCAAAGGAGATACTTACAGTCCACTCCCCTCCACCAAAAGTGTTCCTTCCAAATACATCTATTCCCATATAAACATCAAACTTTCTATCACCAGCAATATTAGCAGAGAGCTTCGGGAAGTCTTTCTGTGATGTAACCAAATAGTTAAATTAAAACACTTAATAATCACCCCTGTAGCAGAAAAGGAAAAACAAAACACCAACCTTCCATGTGTAGTTTATAAAAATGCCATCACATAGATCAAAAAAGGCTTTGTTCTTGTCATTCAGCTGATCTTGCCAAGCAAGGTCACCATGAACAGTAACACTATCATACCTGCAGGTAGCAACAAAACATCAAGAGCTGTTCACACACACAGAAAGAAGACAGGGAGATCTTCAGTACATACCATATCACCAAAGATCCAGGCTTTGACATATGCATCAAATCTGTCAGATGGCTGACAAATGCCTTCAAATTTGCTACCTCAGAAGGATTTATTTTGACCTCCATATTGATCTGCAAGTAGCTTAAATTAACATTTAAAATAAAAAAGAAATAAAAGCATTTTAATTAAAAAACGAAAAGAAAAAAATTAAGAAGCTTACAAATATTAAAAAGTCACAAAAATCCCAGTAGCATATTTGCTTTATCTCTTGGAACCAAGAAAAGAATATAATCATGTTCCTTCTATGGCTTTGTCAAAGATCTAGTTAGAAGTATGGTGTATTCTCAATAAATCAATCAGTTGTCTGATCCAATCTTTGTAGAAGCCTAGAACCGTAAATTAAAACTATCTATAATATTCTCTGAGAACTACCAATAGAATACAATATACCAAACTCACAAGATGAAGACAAAGCTGTAGCTGTTCACTTAAACTTGGGGTTCGTAACTTCTATACTAATAAGAAATTTTATAAGATAGACTTTGAGGCGTGTCAACTATTTTTTAAAGGAGACCAAGAGCAAGACTAATATCAGCTGTCAGTTTTGATCCCCATAAAATAGAGTCAATTATGTACAAATTTAAGAAGTGACATTAAAAGATATCTGAAACAAAAGGGTGATACAATGGTCACAATTCTTTTTAAGTATCAAGTTGCCTAACATTTATAGCATCAAGAGTTACGCAGAGTAAAAATACATGGTATGTCATAGTGAGAACTGAGAAGTCATTTCAACATCAAGCAAAGCTCTTCCATCTTTAGTATCAGTCAAAACCTCACATGAAAGACCAGCCATAAGAAGAAACAGGTCAATTGTCAACTAGAAATCCAAAAACGATTTCCCCTTGACAAAATCCTTTCTTGACTGTCTTTAGCTGCAATAACGTCTCTCGGATTTACCAGAATCAATGAGACTACCCTCCTTCCCCAGCAATAACAATGTAAACCCCACAAACACACGAGTATCCTAAGCAAGGTAGATAAGAAGACACTCCCAAGAAAAAATAGAGACAGAAGAGAAAATATGTTCAGAGGGTATCCTGTCCGATAGTTCACTGTCATTTGTTGTGCAAACATCCAAGCTACAATATAACTAACCATCCAATCATCTACTAATGCCAATTTACATTTGCCAATTGCCAAAAAAAATTGCAATACACAAAAATTAGGCAAAATATGAAAAAAAAACTATAATAAAAAAGAGGATAATTTACCAGCCAGCCATCAAATCCAAGAGCAATAGCAAGCTCGGCCAATCGTTCAGCACACATTCGAGCATACTCGATACTTGATAGCAGTTGATCACTTATGATCCTACCCTCATCCCATTCTGTCAAGAAGGTCCCCAACACCTAATATATAGAACATAACCACAACAAATTACTAAATTAGCACACGAAGTACGATTTTACAAAAACCATCTATTGCTTAAGTACTAATCTAGTTACTCGATCAAAAAAAGTACCTTAACTCCATGCTTGTGAGCAGCATTAACCCAAGAAGGAGGAGGAAGTGTAACCAAATTATGAGAAAAATAAACAAAAACATCCATCAAGTACCAATGCCAAATAGCATAAGCATCAGAATTAGTCCCACCTTGAACCCACTTATCATCATCCAAGTACCCACCAGCCATATCATGGCAAACCAAAAGCCTAGGTTTTTGGGGCAAATTCAAATCCCCATTCAAAGGGGTTGTAGATTTATTAAAAGGGTAGTGAAATGAATCAAAATATGATCTTGATTCGAGCTCTTGGAGGGTTTTGATTGGGTATGAAATTGGATTTGATGGTTGTGATGGGTCAAATTTTGGTGGGTCTGAAAGGGGTAATTCAGGGGATTTTTGAGATGAAGCCATGATTGAAGGAGGGAGGAGAAGAGAGAATTTAGTTTTGATTGAGAGAATGATGTTTTTGGTTGAGATTAGGGTTTCTCTTTTCAAAAAGGCGCGAAGAAGGCGATTTAGCATTTGAAGGAAGAAGACGATGATGATGAAGAACAAGACTAGGAGGAGTGACTTAGCCGTTGACATTACTTTCTACTTTACTTAAATCATCCGAAAATAATGTCAAGGAAAGAATCTAAGGATGGTGTCACAATTTTACACCTTTTGAGCCGATTTTTGTACTCGTATTATGGACTCATGATTAGGAGGCGAGTTTAGGACGTTAGGTATCTAGTTTTCTGTAAGTTATATACGGAGTATTTAGTTTTTTTTATCTATAATTCTATATTTCTATGTATTATTTTCATAATACATGTCAATATATATACTTTTACTTAGTAGTACATTTTATAAATTTGTTCCACAAAGCAAAGTGTAATTTTCATATTTTAAGGATTTAACCACCAAGATTTAGTAAGAGGCTTAACTCCTTTTTTGTAAGAAAAAGAAAAGAGAAAAATGGGTACTTTCATATTTGTTAGTACACATTACAATTTAACTCTCAATTATCAAGACTTTAATTTAAAATTTTGTGTTATCTAATATTACGTATCATCAATTAAATTGCATAAAGTGGTTCTAAAATGATCAAAGCTTTAAAAGTCACTTATTTTTATCGATAAAGTTGTTTTATTTATTGTCTATTACATCACCCTTTGAATTTTGATTGAACTTACCCTTTAAAAAATTAACTTCATTTGTGATGTAATAGCAAGCAACAACCCATAGTTCAAAGACACGTTATATATATATCACCTTTAAATTGGATAATAGTCATGCATAATATAAAATGTTATACAATCAAATTACTATGAGGAACACTTTATTTGCTATTTAATAAATTATTAAGCTCATGCACTTCATGAACATTATTAAATTTGTTTATACTAAACATTTTAATTTAAGATTGATTATGCACATGCAATAATGAATGCTAGATTATAAAAATATTCAATCATAGTCTCAAGGAAAAAATCGGTGAAACGCTAAACATCGCCCGCAATTTACCATATAAAGCCCACAAATATGTTATGATTTGACCATTATGCCCTTTTGCTAATATTGAGATAATCTCGGTGTAAAAAATGTGGAGCCGTACTGGCTCGCCGGGGGAGACCGGATGGCAGGCCGGAGATGCGGGGGACGCCGGAGGTACGTCGTCGTCGACGGAAAACGAGGTAAGTGACCGCTAAAATTCACGGTTTACCGTCGTAGTGGCTCCGGCGCCTAGGGTGGACGCCCAAACCGTAGCCTGGACGTCCAAGCCGGACGCCAGAACCACCAGAGTGGCGTCCAGGCTAGACGCCCAGACCACCAGAGTGGCGTCCAGCCCAGACGCCCAGACCACCAGACTGGCGTCCTGGGCAGACGCCACTCCACTGGGTGAGGCGGCCCTGCCAGGCGCCAGTCCAGTGGGTGTGGCAGCCCTGGCAGACGCCACCTTTAATAATTAATTTTTATTTTTTCCTTTTTGATTTTGTTGTTGTTTTTTATTTAATTTTTTTGTGAAAATAAAAAATCGAAAATGATTTTTTAAAAAAATTCGAAATGGGTTTTTTGTAAATTAAATTTGAAAATTCGAAATAGGTTTTTTTAAAATTAAATTTGAAAATTCGAAATGGTATATTTTTAAATTTAGTTTGAAAATTCGAATTGGGTTTTTATAAAAATTAAGTTTGATTATATATAATTATGTTTTTTTTTGTGTTAATTATGTGGAAATATAGAAATTAAATGTATTATCCGTTAAATGTATTTATTGTAATATATAATTGATGCAGGAATATGGTGGAGACGGAAATGATTACAGTGAGATATTTGGACATGATGGTCCATTCGAAGAAGCTCAACAGGCGATTGATTGGGCAAAACAGGTTGCAATTGCAGCTGGATTTTGCTTGGTAGTAGCAACTCATAAATCTCAACGGGATGGTAGAATGGATCGCATTTTGAGATGTGACCGTTATTGCAAAAGAGAAGAAAGAGATTTTCGTACAGCCACTCGGTTTGACACAAAGCGGAAAGGTTGTGGGTGTGAGTTCAGAGTAAAGGTTTGACAACTACGGAGTCGTGCCGGTTGGGAAGTGATAGGTTACTCTAAATGGGGGTTATATCAAAATTTAAATATAATAACAACAAATAAAACTTAATGCTCTATAAATAAAATACAATATCAAAATTTAAATATAATAACAACCAATCCACGAACGGTTATATCAAAATTTAAAAACAGCACTAATAATATGTTTAAGTTGGAAGCTAAAAGAACAATCTAAAATGTTACAATTTTACAACATAATGTCCAACATAATGCTCTATAAATAAAATACAATAACCATCAGTAATCCCTCCTCGACGACGACTCCCACTGCGCAAGGGTCTGTTCCAGACTATCAACAACAGCTCTCCCTGTTGCACTCATGCTGTCCTTCTCAAGAGAGAGTTTCTGAACGTCTTGCATTATCTTTCCCATCCACTGCATACAACAAAAAACAAAAGATGAAATACAATAACAACAAATAAAACTTAATTAAAAGACAACGATAAATATAATAAAAGACATACCGCTTCCGTGGCAGTAGGCGGTGGCACATAATCATCATCGCTGTGGTCGAGATCAGCGATCAACCTCGGGTGCGAATACCGGTTGAACCATTCCATGTAGTAATGGTCACACATGGGAGTAACCCCAGAGGGCGGCCGCTGCAACTCCGATGTCCATAATCGAGCCACCATCGGAAACTGGTCCCACGTCCCGGTCATGATATCCGGCCATTCCACGACGTACTCCCTCGACGATGCAGGTCGGACCGCCTTCATCGGGCACGCCGGGGGAGGAGGGACAACTTGGACAAATCCAAGCTGGCGAAGACAACGCTGGGGCATGTACGCCTCGACGATGTCACGATACTGAATGAGTCCCGTGTACAGGGTCCTGGGTACCCTAACACTAGGGTTCGGGCCGAAAGGCATCCAGTTCACCTGTACAATTACAACATATAAAATATAATACCATGAATATAATATGTGCAAATAATAAAATGTAGACTCTATAAATAAACGTTACCTCTAAGGGGGACAACCTGTCCAGCAATAACCGTATCGATCTGAGGCGGTCAACGGACTTCTTCTCCGAGCGCGGACTCCACGCACAAGCACGCGACATCCCCTCATCAATAGGAACTGGGTCACGATGTGGTCGCAATGCAGGAAAGTACTCGTATATCCAAGTCTGCAATAGAGTCAGACACCCAATGATACCTGCCGCGTCAGCCCGACTCGCAAATCCTAGTTGGCGATACAAATACGCCAACGTAGCCGATCCCCAGGAAAACTGGCCTACACTGTCGGGGTCACACGCCTCTACGATGTCGCGTGGCCTGAGCTTGTTTCCGCCGCTCTTATCCGGAAACAAGGTACATCCGAGGAGTAGAAAAACATAAGCACTCAGTTGTGCGTCGGGCGTCCTACGTGCACTCGGGTACAAACACCGCTGCAACACGGATGCGATCTTCACACCTCCGTGTTCCCAAACACCTAGCGCCTCGGTGTACAGTGCAGCCCTGTCCACCGCCAACAACTCCGCCAGCGAATCTGCCTGATCCGCATCAGCCACAGCACAAAGTCGTTTACCCTCAACACGAATCCCCAGAATGGCCTCGACGTCATGTAACATGATCGTCATCTCACCGAACGGAAGGTGAAAAGAGTTTGTATCCGGCTGCCATCGCTCAATGAAAGCCGTGATCAGCGTACTGTCAATCTTATCGTGCATGGTGGCAAGAACGTGCTTCACCCCAGTGCCCTCCAGTCGCTCGAACATCTCGCTCTCCGCCGGCCAGGCCTCAGCCCATGTACGCAAAAAACTACAAGTCTTTTCCCGGGTATGACATTTCAACAACCCCGTAACTGAAGGCCTCTCCTGGTCCTCCCAAATACGGGCAGCTATGTGTCCTAGAAAGCTAGGAATCACACTCCCGTCAACAGGCCCACCGGGCACCTCACTCCTAACAACCCAAGAATCATTACCCGCCCTCGACCGTTTCCTGCTTGCCCCAGATACAGTGGACGCAGATGATGTGCCAGATCTACTAACAAACCTACCACCCCTACCCTTACGCACCTCCACCATATGCGTCTCGTACATGTCATCAACCCTCTGACTGAATGGACCGTAATCATCATACGGTCCACTGCCATCGTCCACATCCTCATCCTCATCTGCGCCCTCCTCCTGCTCCTCCTCCTGGTCACCCTCCTCAGCATCATCATCGTCATCGTCATCCTCATCCCGACGGTGGATCCGTTCTCTACGAACTGAGGCCGAAATACCACGGGATCTGACATGTCTATGCTCCGACCTCTCCACTGAATAATTTCTACTAAGAAGCTCTATATTCTTCCCCCCACCATGACGACCCTACACAAAATTTTAAAATATATAAACATACAAAAATTTATACGATAAATAATCATCATCGCAAATCAAATACACTAAAAACATACAAATAATAGTAAACAAAATATAAACGTAGAAAAAATACAACGAAATTGAAAAAAATTATAAAAATAAACAACAAAATTTAAAAACAATTCAAAATTATATTACAAAAAAAAAAAAAAATTAAAACAATTTTTTAAAAAAATTAAAAAAATAATAAAAAAAAAATGGGGGGGGGCGCCCTGGCTGGACGCCCAGCCGGCGGCGGTGGCGCCAGATGCAGACGCCGCCACCAGTTGGCTGGCGCCTGGGCTGGACGCCACAGCCACGGCTGCGGCGCCTAGACTAAACGCCACAACCGTGGCGGTGGCGTCCAGCCCAGGCGCCAGCCAACTGGTGGCGGCGTCTGCATCTGGCGCCACCACCGCCGGCTGGGCGTCCAGCCAGGGCGCCCCGCCGCGTTCACGGCGGTTTTCCCCTTTTTTTTTTAAACAAAATATACCTTTCCTCCTTGGGACATCCTTCCCTCCGCCGCCGCCGCCACTTCCTTGCCTTGCCGCCTCGACATTGCCGTTATTTTGAATTTTTTTTTTTTAGAGAGGTTGAAAGAAGATGAGCAATTAGAGTGTGAGTGATGAGAGTGTGAGTGTTTTTTTTTAAGGTCAAGGGCAATTTTGGGAAACCAAGTGAATTTTGTGGGCTTTATGTAGTAATTTGTGGGCGATGTTTAACAAATCCCAAAAATCGTGTACAACTCATAGTTTGAGCCATTAGCATTAAGTTAGGTGCCTTGATAAGAAATATCTACACCAATTCGACTACTTTATAATTTAA